GTAGGGAGCTTGCTTTCCTTCTCACTTGTAATAGAACTTATGTGGAATAATAGGGGCCGTGAAGCCCGGCGACCACCTCACTTTTTTCCCAGATGAAACAACTCTCTCTCTCTCTCTCTATTTCTCCTTCCCTTAGAATCCTGATTTATCCCTTGGGCACTATCTAAAGAGCATATTTGAATTTAACATCCTAAAAAGTGTAGTGCACGTGCAGACTCTCTCTAAGTTTCTTCTCCGGGATTAGCACTCCAAACTCTCTCATTTAAACCTCTCGTCCAGGACGAGCAAATTATCCCTCTTGATTTAAGTCTCCCCTCTTGGATGAGCAAACAAAACCCCTCACTCAACTTTAAGAAACTTCCAAAAACTATCTCAAAGCTCGACTGGGGAAACAACTATGGAGGTGGTTCCTTGCCCGGAAGCGACAAGATTAACAACGAAAATGACGCAAATCATCCCAATAACAAGTCTTGGCGGTTACCCCGATGAGAGCAGCCACAACACCACTTAAAACTTGATGTAAGGTGAGGCCCGCCGGAGTGATGTTCCTACATGACTGAGAAAGATGGATGAGGAGTGGACTTGGGTTGAGAAATTTTCTATCTAAAAAATCTAAAAGTTTAACTGATTAAATTCCAAAGATCAATTCACTGAAAAACTAGCGGAATGACTGTTCAAAATTTACTTCTAACTATGGCCTTATGGAATGATGCTTTTGAAATTAATGAGTTTTTCATTCTTGTCGTAGCATTGCCTCTAAGAAGTGAAGAACTCGGGGATTTCATGTATAACCAAAAACAGATCTCCACAAGCTGAAGGATCTGCCACTGCTGAAGGCATCGTCATTCAGATCATGATATCCGCCCCAAATTATGCTTGTCGTCGGGCTGACCAACATGGGCTAACCACCTCTAGCCGACCGACCACTCCACTTCAGCTGGCCGGCCAGCCACCCTAGCCGACTGACCACCAGGGCCAGGTAAATGAGGGACCACCAACCGACCACCGAAGACTGGTCATAGAAGACCGTCAGTCAGCCTCCTTGGTTGGCCACCACAAGTCGGTCGACCACATAAAAAGAAGTCGGCCAACCACCCCAACCAATCAACCACATGAAGGCACTCGGTCGACCACCCTTGTTGGTCATTACAGTCCGTCGACCCCTATTGGCCGACCACAAAAACGCACCCGGCAGGCCACCTCATTCGGTCGGCCACCTTGGGTCGTCCACAGTAATGGAAGACGGACAGCCACTCGACGCCAACAAAGACAGTTATGGACTAAATTACCCCTCGCTGCTCCCCTTTAAATAGGGGCATACATGTAATTTCTCTACTCTCTTCTCTCTTAAAATAGATGACCTCTTGCATGGAAAAAGGGGTCCCTTAGGCTCTTCCTCTCTCCCTCTTATTTAGGGAGCTTGATCCTTTTCTTTTTCACTTGTAACCAAACTTATGTGGAATAATAGGGGATGCCGAGCTCTGGGACCACCCTCCTTTGCCTCTAGACGGGGCAACCCTCTCTCTTTTTTCTTTTCTCAGAATCTAGCTCTATTCATTGGGCACGATCTAAGGAAGAGATTTCAATTGAACATAATATTATTACTATATTAATATCATTTAAAAGAGCATATTTGTGAGCTAACGTGTTGAGTCAGCTCAAATTTTGCTCATCTATATATGATGCCCCAATTGATTGGCTTAGGGATGAGAGACAATACTGTAAATATTATGACCATAATATTTTATATGATTTAATCAATAAACAATGCCTGTCATAATTTGTTCAGAGATTCAGATAATATTAAATGTCCCATAAATATTACCAAATATTCTATTTAAAACAGTACCAAATCAGCACCGTAAAGGAAATTTATAGGAATCGTGTTACATCAGCATTTATTATGCCACTTCATATTCATCAATCTCGTCGCCAGTTTTAATTATTTCAAGTTATTTATTACTCTGCAGGTCGAAGCAGGGCTGATGAAGCACCCACAGTAGCAGCATAAGGCTGGCTTGATTGGACTTTTTCTCTTCTGTTTCGCGTAAGTATTTGAAAATAAGTAGGGGAATTTACATGCATATCACCCAGTTTTTATGTATTTATATATGTGACGTCTAAGTTTTACTTTTTTACATTTATATCACCTTAAACTGTCCTATCACATAAAAATACCACTATTTTAACCATGAATGATAATTGGACTGTGATATTCACATAGCTCAGTCATCCAATCATCAATTTGCTTAAATTTTTTTTTTTCAAAATCATAATAATTCTGAGAAAAATAAATAGAATCAGCATAAGTAACCTAGAGTGAATTGCATGATTGTGAAAATTCATAAATTGGATTGAATTTGCATTGAATCATTCTGGTCGAGTATCAATCCTTAGATTGATTAAATCCCATTAAATTGTTGAACTGCTTACTCTTAGATTTACAATGGTTGATTGGTTTGATTAGAAATTGCAATGAAGTGATGGCACTGAAATCTAATATTTTTTTTTCCTGCATTTATATTATGCATACCCATTTTATTATATATACATATGTTATCACTATTATAAATTTAAATTTATATCTCTGTATTTCTTAACATAAGTTGAATCTAAAACATCTACTCTCCAAACCGGGTCATCAAATGATCGAAGCTTAATGTGACCAAACCCTCTAAGACCGTTCTCTCTATTCTTGTCTGTAGTTGGAGCTACACCAACCGTTTCACATTTTGTCTCCAAGTGTCAAGCTACTCATCCATCTAAGCATTTTCATCTCAGCAATACTTAACTTTGCTTTATGCTTCTCTTAAAGGTCAACATTCGGCGCCATAAAACATTGTAAGTCTCTGATGTGATCCGAAACCAAATTCACCGAACAAACAACGACGAATTAGTACTTGGTATGTGGTAAAACTCAAACGAGGTTTGCTCTTACGAAAATCAAAGATAAACAAACAAGATACAATGATGATCTACTATTCGATCTAGACGTCACTTGGGACACCACAGAAAGAAAAGAAAAATGCAACCAACAAAGTATGCATAAAGAAAAGCCAAATCCTAGGTTTTAGCATTAATATAATCTCATCACAACACTTCAAACTTTTTTCCCAAACTCCTCTAATTTCTCCTTCTTGAATACATGTTAAAAGCCCTCGTACACCCCACTTGTTCGCTGGACCTTGTTGCCCCACTCCCTGTCGAACCGATCCTCCTTGCTGCATTCGATGTGCCCGGTTTGTTGGACCTCGCTGCCCCGCTCTCTATCGAACCATCTTCCCTATTGCGTTCGACGTGCTTGGTTCGTTGGACCTCGCTGTCGCGTTTGACCTACCTGCGTTCGACCCCCACCTGCTATGTCGCTCGACCCATAGAGGGTTGAGGTGGGCCGGTGGGCTGATTCCCGACCGGTCTCGCCCGGACTAGTTCATGACTGGTCGTAACAGTCTCAACATCATCTTATAAATTTTTATTTTAATTATTAAGCGGTATTTTTCTATCACACAATAGTTTTGATGCATTACTCCACTTCAACCAACCGACCTGAATTCTGCTAATAACATTCCCATCTATATCACCATCACTTTGAACAATAGACCCAAGATATCTAAAATGTTTGCATCTTTTATTGATTTGGTTCACTCATAGTTACAACTCTACCACCAGAGTTACTATCATTAAAATTACATTCCATGTATTTTTAGATCTACTCAGACGAAGGCCTTTAGACATCAATGTAGACCTCTATAATTTAAGAACTCCTCTAGTCTTTGGGTATGTTTGGGGCAGCTTATTGTCTGCGACGGCGTTTTCAAAACGCCGTTGTCCCGTTTGGTTGGAGCTTTTTCATTGCGGTCCACGAAACTCAGTTTTCATTTTGTGAATAACGCGGACCGCTAACGCGGACCGCTAACGCGGACCGCGGGATGACCCCCGCGGTTCGCATTTGTTCCCTGATTATTACCATTTACCCTTGTGCAATCCTGGTTCTCCCGACCTCATCTCCTTTGCCCTAGCGAGATCCTCTTCTCTCGATCGTTTAGGATGCCATGACCGAATGGCAGGATACGAAGACCTTCGCCGGCTCACCGAAGCCCTTGCCTACATTCAAGATGCAGTCACAATTAGAACCAGCGGGAAGTTAACGATGGAGTCGCGGCATACAAAGCCATCCGAACTCCCATCTTTCTCCTCCTTCAACCTCTTTATGTCTTCCTCTCACCGGATCTCCAACTGACAGGCAACGGCAGGATGTAGCAGGATCGTGGTAGGATCGCCAACATACAGAGACACCCAAAACTTCCAACTTACCATTTCACACTCGTCTTCACAGCATGCATAGACGGGTTGTATGCCAGGTGCGTCTGTTGAATGAGAAGGGGTTCGTCGTCATTGTTATGATGGATGGAGGGGAGCAAGATCCATACGAGACATCTCAGCGTGTTTGCTTCCGTCAAGGCAGAGGATTGTGAGGTTTGGTCTTCTACTGTCACAACTTTAAAAGCACCATCTTCCAGAAAACTCTATTAATGTGAATTATGATGGTTTTGTTGCAGATATTATTAGAGTTGGCTATGAACATCTCCAAGATGGTGGAATGATCAGATTTTAGGTGATAGAAAATTTTGGTGCAAATACACCGATCTAAGATTGCTATTGCTTAGGACCAAAACCTTATTTTTGGCGAGATGATAGTCTAGTTATGTCGCGACGCCATGCTCCCTATCATTTTCTCCAAGGTAAATGGAAGATCACGTTCGTCATATAGACTGCAATGTAGTGAGATTGCAATGTACTGAGATATTAATCAGAGTGTCTTATAGAATGGTTCATATGTATGCTATGTTCAATACAAGTCAACTTATTTCTTATAGAATCATCATCATTATTCTTGTCCCAATGATGCATGCTGATTGTTACTATCCTAGATTTCTAATTAGATCCATTTACAGCATATTGAAGCTACATTTACAAAAGAGAAAAAGGCTAGGTGTGGAAAGATTTCCAATTCCATAGAAATTACAATATCATAATTCACTTATCTAGTTTCATTGGCCACTAATGTACAGAGTTGAACTACCAATCAGATGAGTCTAGAAGCAATTACATCGAGTAATTTTTGTTCTCAACTGTTAGATATATAGCCGTTAAAGTTCTAGTGTAGACAACAACATTACGTTTGTCTGAATAGTCTTTTATCTACCAAAAGCTGCAAATCAGCTGTTTACAAAACACACAAATCAAACAGCTAAATAATTTATCTAAAACATGGGTAGAATGTTCATTTATCCAGAATCGGTTGTTTTTCAAACTCTTAAACTAAACAAACAAACAACTTATTTGAATCAGTTGCTTATCACCAATTTATCAGAATAAGCAGCCTATCTAGATAAGTTGCAGCTGCCCCAAACATACCCTTATCCACCAGAAGGATAAGACTAGATATGTGACATATGTAAATGTATAAGAACAGTGTGCTATGCATGTAAATTCCCTGTATAAAATCCTTGGTACTGGGGATGTTTTAAATTTGAGGATTTCAACCATGTAATCTATTTTGTTGTTGTGATTTAGTTCTACCATATCATACTTAAATTATGTTATGTTATAAATTATTTAAATCATATTAATCTTGATTAAATAAAGATCGAACAAATCATCTTTTAATCTCATTTGTACCTTCTTCAAGTTGTTTGAATTGAACTTTATTTCAACTTTCTTGAGTTTTGCTCAAATTTAATTCAAATTATTGTTGAATCTTCATCGGTTGAACTTTATTTGTATTTTGGCTTCAATTTCGCCCATATTTTATTCAGATTTTGCTCAAATATGTTAGGTTGGGGGGAGGGAGATATTCGGACAGCTAACCACCGGTGGTCGCATCGTCGGTGGTCGCATCGTCATATACATCAGCGATGGGTGACGTGGTCGTGGTGATTAGCCGATTAGACGTGCCAACGAAATATTTTTTGTTAGTGGGGGTGTGTAGTTTTCTTAAAAAAAAAAAATGTTGGATGCATAATAAAATAAAAATAATAGAAGAAAGCATTATTAGATTAGCCAAATGGGATGAATAACATCAATAAAAAAAGGTGCATTTGTATGCATGGCACACATTTTTTTATATATTTATATATTTTACATTTAAACTGTCTTATTTATATAAATAGCCCTGTTCATTTAATTCCACATAAAAAATAAAATTATTATCACTCTTTAAAAATAATTTGTACATTTTCATACATAAATTTAAAGAAGTAAAATATTATGTATGTAAATATGATAATTTAGATGTGAGATATGTAAATACGTAAGAATTGTGTTACTTATATAAAATTTTATTAAAATTACAAGAAAAATATATATCAATGGTAAATGATTGTACCTATAAATTAATCAAGAGGAGGAGGGAGTAGTAATGGTTTGCTTCAATCCCTTTGAATAATTAAACCACATTTTGTATTTTTAGATGGGGTTAATTTGCCTCAGATTAATTAAATTTTATTATTACATCATGAGTCATCATGCAGAGCTGTTTGTGGACTCCAATCTAGAGCTGACACGTGGATAGTCAAAGCTTACCTTCATAAAAAATAAAAAAAAAAGAATGAAAATGCGACGTGTTATAATAATATTTTCATTCACATTATTCATGTGTTATTGATGTCTTATTAAGTTAATTTTGAGATATAATTGTTCTTTAAACAATAATACTAATAACATATGAATAACGTGAAAAATATTACTTTAATAATACATGAATAACACACTAATAACACATTAAAAACGCGTGACCCGACTCAACCGTGTTATAGGAATATTCTCGCTGCGTTATTCTGAATATTTTTCGTGTTATTCATGTGTTATTGGTGTGTTATTTAGATGTTAATGTCAGAGAATATTCTTCGCGTTTTTAATGTGTTACTGGTATGTTATTCGTGAATAACACATCAATAACACCCCAATAATACATGAATAACACGAAAAATATTCAGAATAACGTGAGGGAATATTCGCTCTGGCCGGGTTGTGCGTTTTCAGTCATATTTTCATTTTTTATGCATATGGGCCCCATCTTTTCACGTGTGAGCTCGAGATTGGGCTCTGAGAATAATTTTATATGAGGAGTTCTGATTGGACTCTGCAAGTAAATCTATATTTTCTTAAAATGTTGATCAGTAAATCATTTAATTAAAGGTTTTTTACAATATTAATCGTGTTTTATCTTTTGACTACAATAAAGATTATTATTTATTTATAAATATTTTTACTGTTTTGCAGTGTTTGCCATGGCCTCCAGCTAAGAACTGCTGCCAGGGTTCAAATGTCAAAAGCTGCAAATTACAACTACAAATATATAATGATGTGATTGAAAGATGTTTCGGCCGGGAGCCAGCTAGCAAGTGTTTTTTTCTTAAGTCCCAATCCCGAACAAGTGTCATATTTATATCTATTATATTACGTAATTTCAACATGTTAAAATGTACTAATATTTGATCTTATTTATTCAAATAAATAAATAAATAAATAAATAAATTTAAATATTTTTTAAGTTCCGAATTTTTAAATGAATTATATTTAATTATTTAAATATAATTCGATTTGTTTATTAATATTTATGAAGAGATTTATTTGTAATTTAACAAATAAATTATTATGTATTTTAAACTTAGATCATATATTATTTAAATAAAATTTTATAAATTATAACTTATTTAATAATTTATTTAATATTAACATCTATTATATGTATTTAATTTAATGTTTTTTCTTTTCAAAAAAATTGTTTCTTTTGTTATTTGATTGTACTAAAGTTTATTTATAGCTTTTAAATTATTTTGCATATTTGGTATAAACTAGCAATATGCTAATTTAAAATCTAATAAATTGTTTTTTATTAGAATTATAAAATCATTTGTTAAAAATTTTAATATAAAAATTCAAGACATTCAAAAATTTAAGTTGTTTATTAATTTTTAATTAATACAAACAAGTTAAGTAAAATTTTAAGCAAGCCATATATATATATATATATATGCAGACTTATTTGTGCTCGAATTGAACTTGAATAACTTATGATTCAATCAAATCAAAGCCCAAACAATGACTCATACTTAACGCAACTTGGCTTAATTATAGTGCTAAGTAGTCATAAAACTAATACAAGTAAAAAATGATAATTTTTATGTAATATGAAAAGTTTTAATAGTATAAAAATAAAAAAAAAATCAAAATTTATATATTAGATATATAAATACATAAGAATTAGGTGAATTATATGTAAATGCACTTTAGTAAAGGTAAATAAAAATAAAAATAAATTATTTTAATATAAAAGTGATTAAAATTTATCAATGGCATTAGTTAATTAATTGTCATATATTTATAATAATTTCAATTACTCTAAATATTCAGAGAATATACAGTAATTTAAAACTTCTAGATCTTCAGTATTATATATCACAAAATATTTAATTTTTTAGGGCAATTATTAATTGTTTTATGATGTCTCAAGGTGTAGAGCTGAGTATCGTTCAACCTTCAATGTTCTATTTACTTTTCCAATTGAAGCATGTGAAAGATCTCCCATGTTTTTAAGGTTTCATTTTTGAGATTTGATTCATACTTAGAGACTATTTGATTTCCTAATTTGTGGTCTTGAGTATTTATTTATTTACTGTTTAGTGAGCTCTCCCTCAAGTTACGCTTCTTCTCTTGACTGTTAGATCTTATCATAAGCCGCGCGGATATATTTTTTATGTACAGAAAGGAATGCAACTTCGTTGTGAAAAAAATAAGTAATACTAGCGAAATAATCGACGTCATTCCATGTGTCAGAAAGTTTATTGACAATATTCGGGAAGCGTGATTTTGTATGGTTTTTCAACTCCTAGACCCATAGCTATTTGGTGAAAAACATTTTTGATGGGTTTGGAGGCAAACTAACAATTTAATTTCATCTGTTCATTGTAAATTATAAACTGTCGGTCACATGTCGTTGCCAAACGACGGTGTTTATTGCGTATATAAGTCATTGGAAATCTCATTTCCTCTCCTCCCACCTTTTGCGAAGGTCGAACCCACACGCATCCCGTTTCTTGGATTTTTCATTACAGGGCACCAAATCGCTATTTCATACAATCAAATTGAAGATGATCTCGATTCAATTCGTCATCCTAGTTTTTATGTACTCCGTAAGTTTTTCTACATTTTCAATGAATGCGATTTAGGAAAATATAAAATTTAATAGGGTTTGCAAAATCCAACTATCATGTGATATTTTTTGATCTATTATGTGTGTCACGATTGAAACCATTGAAAATTTGATACAAATACTTGCCTTGAAGATTGTGTAACAACGCTTCCCAAAGATGGTGCAACAACGAATCTCAAAAATGAGATAACGACACACTTAGAATACGCTTATGCACCTTCTGACTCGTCCCTCACGACCTATGAAAGTCATTACTACTCACTAGTATGACTCCCGTGATTAACAACTTGTGCAACTCCTGACTCCAACAACTGCTATCCATGGACACCATCGTGGCTCACCACTAAAACCTATACTATCTTTGTGGTCCACATATCTCTACTACGCCCTCTATGGCCAACCGACACTCTTGAAGTAACCATATCTACAGTTAACCAACCCAACTATTATCATAATTATCAGCTACAACTTCTATGACAGACTGGCGTTATCCACCATTTACAACACTCACTACGGATAACTATCTCCGCGTTGCAACATGCTGTTGCCAGGAATTACAACCTAATTACGAATATACAACTCTGTAATTCCACTTTCCCTAATTCAGGAGAAGAATGGTTTTGTGTACACACTATTCACAGTGGATCAATTCAACTGGATAAGGTCTCATATTTTTTTCTCTTTCTGAATTTTTAACATAAACCTTCAAGTATTTCTAGTGATTATTTTTCTTTCATTTAACAACACAATAATCTATTAATCTTCCATTACAACTTTCGGGTGATTTTGAAGTACACTCTGAACTATTCATTATATTTGAGTGAATGGGATGGCATCTACGTAAATACTCTTAATTTAAAATATTTATGCATTAACGATCATATCTCCAAGGAGAGAGATTAAGGGATAAGAAAATGAGATATGGAAAACATGCATTTATAGAAACAAAAAAAAAAATTCAAACCACAGACATTATGGGCAAACCTCATTGGACACATAACTGAGGAGAGAGAAGAAAAACTAGGGAAGAACGCCACATGCCCATGCCTTCCTCCCTTACTCTTGACAGCCTGTATTGTCTTCTTCTTCCTTTCTTCACTCTCTATATATCAGCGTTCAGTTTCTACTCATCTCCACCTCTCTCCCTCTCTAAACCCTACCAATGGCTCTCAAAGCAGCCATTTTTGTTCTTCTCTCTCTCTTCTTGGTCGCCCTTACCAGCGTAAGTGAAATCTGTATTACGAAAAAATATTACGTCAGACTACAGATGTGGTGATACAACGGGAAGGAGCGGAGCTCGAACCAACAACTGAATATTTTTCTGAATACTCTCTTAAATTTTGAAATTTTACATTTTGCAATTTGAGATTATATAAATATGTCCCTTTTTGTTAGAGGTTTTTTGAGCTGTAACTGTGATAACTGTAGGAGGAGGTGGCGACGGCGGTTGGTGGCGGCGATTTGGCTCCGGCTCCGGCTCCATATCCCCACATATTTGTAAACTTTGAAGGTACCTTTTGTTTGGTTGTTTGTTGAGAAAATATTACCTCTGGTCAATGTCTGGGTGACAGCTCGGCATGATTGGTGGCCACCTCATTCACAGATGAGATGTATGTCAGAGCTGTTGCCTGACTGATCATTATTTACATATCTAACAATCGTATTTACGTAATTCATAACTTCTACAAATATTAAAATGTGGGTGGTAGATATGTAAATATACAGTAATTTTTTATCTATTTTTAAATAATGAAATAATGATGATTTGATTTGATTTGATTTGATTGTAGAGTGCCCATTAGCATGCAAGACCAGATGCAGACTCCATTCCCGGCAAGGGCTTTGTAACAGAGCGTGTATGACCTGCTGCAAGGGTTGTAAATGCGTGCCACCGGGAACGGCCGGTAACCGAGAGCTTTGTGGGCCATGCTACACTCAGTGGACGACACATGGCAACCGAACTAAATGCCCTTAATTAACTCGTATTATGAAATTTATTTATGTTTCACTTTTCGAAATTAAATTCCGTCTACTTCTTTTAATTCTCGCAAATATTCGGTTGGTAGTTTTGTAATATGTTTTTTAAAGGCTGGTCTTAATGGAGAAAAAACCTGTTTTTTTACAAGTTCATTTAATTTTGAACAAGGTTTACATATATACCCCTTGAGTCTGTTTGGTATAGTTTATTTGATGTAATGATGTTTTGAAAATGCTGTTGACATGTTTGGATAAATTGTGTTTTGGTAGTTTATGCATTTTTAACATTTTTTTTTATAAGTTCATTTAATTTTGAACAAGGTATACATATATACCACTTAGGGTCCGTTTGGGGCAGTTTATTTGGTGCAATGACGTTATGAAAACACACCTGACTCGTTTGGATAAATTGCATTTTGGTATTTTTTGCATTTTCAAAATTCTGAAAATAACATTTTCACACCACATCTATCTAGATGTGGTGACAGCTTTCAGGTAACGGTCTGATTTTTTTTAAAAGAAATATGAAAACTTGTAATTACCATCACACTCAACTTATCAGATTATTTTTAATCAGCTTATTAACAGATTACTCAATAAGCTGCAGTAAGCTACCCCAAACAGACCTTTAATTGATATGTATTTTCATATCGAATCATTATTTTTTTTAGTATAGGAAGTATGGTTTAGGCGTAAGAAATGTAAAATTTTGGGGGGCATAAACCTAAAAAAATAAAATTGATACATTCATGTCACCAAATGCTTATATATTTATATATGTAACGTCTAAACTTTACACTTGTTACATGTATACCATCTTATATATGAAGGCAAGGTTGGATTTTATTTTTTTCAAGTAAATTTGTAATATGTGGGTGGCATATATGAACTTAAAAACTAAAATTCATGTGTTGGATTTGTAAATGGTGGTAAATTTGTAAAATTTAAAATTTCGGTGTACAATCTTGCCAAAATATTCCTTCCTTAGCTGGCTTCGCTGCATGTGACTGGACTGACTGGCACGTAAATAAATGTGATCTATTCTTACGTGCACCAACGTCAAGAATATTTAATTTTCGTGGCAGACATTGGAGCCCTCCGCTGAAATGAGGTGAGAGAGAGCGGGCGTGCTCTTATCGTATCACGTGCGACATCACGTGAGACTCAGCATGTAATAATTTTTTATGTTATGGACCCTTAGCTGGACTCCATTAACTTTACATAATTTAAAAATTATTTTAATCTATTTTTTAGGACGATATAATCTAAAATAAATTATTCACCATATTTTTTTCATGAAAATAAATATCATACATTACAAATATTTGGTAATTTGAGGTACGTGGTGCTAAATTATTTCATACGGAACGCTGATTTCAATCGTCAACAATCAGGGAGAAAATGTATTTTGATGGGCTCTTAAAAAAAAATTGAGGACCATCGAAATATCAGGGAGAAAATGTATTTTGGTGGGCTCTTAAAAAAAAATTGAGGACCATCGAAATACATTTTTCACCTATATTTTTGTCATTATCTACGGTTGAGATCGGACGACGTATGTAAGAAAAATCATAGGGGTAATGGTTTTCTAGATCCATCATTTTATAAGAAATGCACTAAATACAATGATAAATATTTCTTCAAAACTATTCTTTTGAGAAAGTAGATTGAACTAGGCTCAATGAATGTCACAATATTTATATTGTGTCCTGATTTATTCATGAGCCACTCCTAAAGAATAGAGTGCAAGAGGCATAGATAAATGAATGAATAGTAATGAATAATAATGTCATATCAATCTTGAATTAAGTTATAAAATATTTTTTTCTATTTATAGATGAAAAGTTATATAGCAATGCTATATTTTTGCTTCTGTTGATATTAGACTATTTTTGGTATTTTACATGGGTAAGTTTTTCGTCGAACTATTTTTTGGCTTAGTTGGCGAGGCTTAATTGGCTTTTGGTCGAAAAGATCAACTCGGTCGGCCAAGTTTTGTTCGATATGGATCTGCTCATTCATCTGAGCTTCAGTTGGTATGGTTCGGCTCGATTGATACGACCTGTCGTCTTTGGATTGGTTGGAGATGCTCAAGAACCAAAATTTTCATTCAATCAGTTTTATTGTGACAATTGGTGCATATAATCATTTGTCTTATTTCTAATTGAGTGACTCGTTATAGCATTTTTTGGGCTTCTTTGGCCTGTCTAGTAGTTCGGTTGGGGTTTGGCTCGAATAATCTTATTTGGTCGAACAAGTGGGGGTCTCACGTTTTTCTATTGGTGGGCCCTCCTTCGTTAAACATTTTTTATTTTTGTACCCTTAGATCTCTTGAGCATCAGCATTGAGCATTTTTTATGTACATTGTGTAATGCTTGGCTAGTTCTCTGGAATTGGTTGAGCATTTTTTATTTACATTGTGTAATGCTTGGCTAGTTCTCTGGAATTGAGCGAGTGAAGCTAGTATGTTATAGATTGGACTTCGCTTCATCTTGTTAAAGAGTTGTAAACGGTTATATATAGGTTTTTAAGCTAAATTATTGCCTTATAGAAGCTTGACGTTGGCTTTATATGTGTAAAGCCAAATAAGACCATGAACCGAAATAAGTTTTCTATTTGATTGCTCTCAAACTGATCGACCAATCTGCCGAAGTAGTTGAACTAAGTTTAACTGATGAAGTGGTCAAACTAGTCTAGGGCAAACTAGTAACTGAAGAAGACCATCATTACATTAGCGTACATACGTCCATTCATATTTATGATGTCGTCTCACACCCACATCTCAATATTTCCATCAAGCCAAACATATTATGACATGTGATATAATTTTATAATTATTTTATCTTTTCTTTTGTATATGGGGGATCAAAGAAGAGGGATATTGCTCCCACTCGAACCAAAAGCACTTTCTTTAAAAATCATTCGTTCCTTCTTCAGAGTTTGAGGGAAGATAATAAAAACTCAAGCTCCAACAGCATATCAATTATCTTCTTCAACAACTTCCTCCAAGCACAACATCTTTTCAGGGTTTTATGAACTCACCTAAAATATAGGAACCTACATCTTAAAATGATTCAACAATATAATATTAACGAATTCAGTAAAATTTTAATGGTGGCAACTGTCTGTGAGCACTATAGCTACCCTCAGATTCCACCATTGGACAAAGCCTTCATCATTGCAGGCTTAGTAGAAAAATCATTGAAAGTTCAAAATCTTGTATTTTCTGGTCTCAAACACTAACTAGGAATAATAAATGGTAATATGAAACAGTAGCATGCACTTAAATTTCAATTATGAACTAAAAATATAAATAAATTACCTTAATTAATGTTGCTTGTCCCATATATATATATCTGATAGCTTGAACTATCATTTGATCACTTTATTTACCTTATAATGAAGGGTGGAAAGGCCAATGTTCTTAATTTTACAATGCAAGATGCTTATTTTCACATTAACATTTTTATAATGAAAACTATATATTATTTGAATTTTTATAATTGCCGTCACCTTCTGATAGTTAGAAAGAGCATTTCAGTTTACCCTTTTAGATCTTCCTCTCTTATTTATGAGTTCATTTTATGAACTACCATGCTCTTTTATTCTTTGGCCTCTTAGAACTTTCTGCCATTTGTTCATAGAGTTTAGAAAGGGATGGTTGTGTCATGTACTTTTAAGAAGATTGTTTGCAAATGAGATTAATTTCAGGAGTTAAAGTTCAAAAAATTTTGTCATTCTGCTTCAACTACACGATCTCATGGCCACATTTTTACAAATTTGATGTTTAGAACATTATCCACATATGAGGGCACTAATGAGAAGCTTAAATCGAGAATAATGAGTCATTTAACAAAAAAATAACTTATAGAAAATCATTCTAAGTGATACTCCACCAACAAATTTTCATCATCTATCACGAATCTCGAGGCATGACATGAATATCGAGGCAACCTTTTGAGCTAGAAATAATCAAATTTCAATTAAAAGTCATCCAGAGCTCTGATTTCAACAAACTTATAGTCAAACTGACCTACTCGATGAGACAGACTTAATAATATCAAAGTTAGTCTAATCCGAGTTAAATCAAGCCCAGATCAAGTTATTAAATCTTTATTGAAAGATTTTAGGACACATTTGAAAAACCAAATGAATGTCTAATTCAGTGAGTTTATAGTCGAATCGAGCGTCTCGACAAGACGAATCCAACGAGCACTAGATTGCTCAATTCCGACATTATTAAGACACTCAAATCTCCATCAAACGCCATCCGATCGAGGGAAGCTCTCCGAACTCTCTGATCAAAATGGTTCATATTCCTGCATTAATTGCACCCAGACCACTATAAATAAAGCCCCAACCCTCACATGAGGGGGGGGGGGGGCGGGGGACTGGAGGCTTTGAGAAGGAGCTAAAGTCCAGCACCACCGCCGACTACTGTCGACCGTCGTTCGCCGATCGTCATCCACCAATTGTTGTCGACCACCGTCGATTGTCGTCAACTACCGCCGACCAGGCGCCGTCAGTCAACGTCGTAACTTGAAAAATCTAGTAACCCTCTCAAGTCTGCAGAACAAGAGCTCATCACTACGATCCATGTGTCAACTACGGCCAACGTGGTCATCAGCTCTTGCAGCTCCTGACTCCGATCCCAACGGTCTATAAATGTCACCACTACTCACTGACCTTGACTTTATATATGCTTAAAAATATAAGTATTTAATACTGCTGCTAAAAGATTTAATTGTTCAGCAAATGTACCCAAATTCAATAACAGTTATAGATTCGATAAATATGGACGTAACAAATATTCAATAATTGTAAAGTCGCACTTACCAACGCGTACACGTATCGCTCAAGTAATATAGGGCTCTAATGGAGTCCTAGATATCGATCCCACGGGGAGTAAGATTAGAACTACGAACTAAGATTTTAGAAAAGTAATACTTTAATCACAATAAAGAAGTTCAATTTGTTTATCTGTTACTAATAGGCAATTAAAATAAATATGTAGTTTTAATAACTATTAAATGACTAATTATACTAATGAAGGTTCGAATGTGATATTCAATATATAAGAAAACATTTTTCTCCTTGTCAAGAAATTATAGTGAATGGAGAAAATGAATTAGTTCAAATTATATTGTGTCAAATAGGAGCATGTCTATTCTTTATCCTTTGGTCCAGACATAAATAACATTGATTAATCCTACGCTTGTTTACTGAATCCGCGGCTAGGCTGAGAGGATACCGGCTCTCACTTCGGAGCTCCCACGTTCCCCTCGTCTGAGGGCTAACATCTACACTTCAGCACCCAAACGATAGGACCAAATTGGGGATTTTAGTCTGTCACTCTAAAATCTCTAATTCTACGCCCAATAATATTATTTCCCTATTTATTTGCACCAAATTCCAAGGGCTTTGATCTTCCTGAATCTTAGATGTAATCTTCACTTTAGTTGTAAAACTCAACATATTTTAACAAATCAATTGACCGGATTGAAAGTAAATTAATATCGAAGTGAAAAGATCATCACAATTTCTTAAACATTTTCATGGCTTCATCAATTCAAATCACCATTTCACAAATCTCATGACAAGGAGAAAGACAGAGAAAACTACTCAGATCTCATGGAGAAAACACAATAAAACTCGGAATTCATATATAAAATCAAAGTCATACAAACTACAACAATAAATAAACTTATCTTTAATTTCTCCCCAAGAAAACTCCTCGAAGTTTCGCTGAATCTCTTCCTTTCTTTACAGCACACAAAAATCCTCTTCAAAGCAACAAGGAGGAAGAAATCTCTCACCTTCACTCCACTCTTATTATATCTCGAAGAACTCATGACAATTTAGACTCTCTACACTTTTCCACACTTCAATTTGGAGCCTCCCCTCATCTTGGACCTTTCTAACATCCATGACCTCTCTAATTTTTGGCCAAAATCTTCTTTTAAAGTTGTTGATGAGTTTTCCCAAGAGTTGTCAGAAGAGTTTTTCCAAAAGTTGCCTAAGCATCCCTTAAAAAATCATCCGCATTCAATGCACCTGTTGGGATAACCGCCGATCTCGCCGTCGACGGGCCTTCTAAAATATTTGATCTGGACTCTCAGGAAATTCTCATTGTCGGTGCCGTTGGGCTCGCCGTCGACGCCCTAGTTCAAATCTTCATATTGTGGTCCTTTTCGCTCCAAATTAGCTTCTTTTTGCATTTTTTGCTTCAATGACAATAATTCATCATACCTGCAACAAAACAAAGTGCAATATTATCAAAAATAATATAAAATAAGTATGAAAATCTCAACATATTTTCCTCTGGTCACTCACCTTTCTAGACCATATGCCAACAATGACCTACACGGTCATCAGCTCATACAGTTCCCGACTCCGGCCCAAGCGGGCCCCAGCAGCCTATGGACGTTATCAATATTCGCCCCAACGACCTACCTGGCCATCAGCTCATGCAGCTCTCAACTCCGACCCCCGCGACCTACGGACATCATTATAACTCATCAACTACAATCTACGTGATTCGCAGTTCTCGCAACTACTTACTATGACTTCTCTGACCAATTTACGCTTCTGGAGCAACCATCTACAACACTCATGACGGACTACTACCTCCTTAGCTATCAATAATGACCCTTGCAACATGTTATCACCAAGAACTGCAGTCTGGTTATAGTTATGCAACTTTGTAATTTCATCTTCTCTAATTAGGGGAAGAATGAACCTGCGTACTAATCATTCATAGTGAATTATTTCAACTAAACCAGACCCTATGATTTTTCCCCTTTCAAGGGTTTTCCACGTAAAAAATTGAGATGTCTCCTCCTGATTACTTCTCTTTTTTTATCTGTGTGTGTTGAAATCTCGTGCAACGCTAAGACGTAATCCCTTACTCTACCGTCGCAAATTTTCTAGCACACATCACTAAGGTTATTATGAATTGCATCATCCCTCGTGTTCATTAAAATCTTCAAGAGTGCATCATATGACTACAGGAATTAAACATGTTTGCATCGGCTAGATCAGATGGAAATCCAATGTTATTTAAGGGTTATAGTTGTATTTGTGTCCGATTTACGTCTGATTTTTTTCGTTGTTAATTTGGGGATCAATAATTTTATTTTCTTCCTACTTAGGTCGAAATTTTCTGACACAAATATTTAGTGTCGGTTGTTTAGGGTTTATGCTTCGGATTTTCACAAATCATCCCAAATAAGAATAACAAAGTTAATCCAAATTCCCCAACAAATGTTTAACACGATACTTACAAATAAAAGAAAACATAATAAAAAATTAGTCATCATCTCCATCCTCCTTCTGTTGCACGAATATCATCTGCTGCTTGCTCGACAATCTGCAGAGGTCTCGACCATGTGTGTTGTAGAGTTCTCTACTTTATATTGGCCTTCTAGCATCTCTTCGCGCAACTCGTGGATTTCCTCACTCATTGAGACCACCTGCCTGGTAAGAGCCCCCTGATCTGGATATTAGCAGCTCGAGGAACTAAGAACAGGCCCACGAAAGAGCTAGGGCTTCAAAAGTAATGCCCTTCACTCCAAGGGTTTATATGCTCTCCTTCTTTCTCTCTGCCGTCTAGGCCTAAAGCTCGTAGTCTGAGTAAAGCTCATACTCAGACTACGTAGTGGTAGACTGACTGCCACTATTATTTGGTGAAAGTCTGGACCTGAGCCGCCAACTTCAACTCCCAAAGCTACTCAAACTCCTACATAATGAAAATCAACATTTAATTGACACTTTCAACATTTAGAGGCAAAATAAACTTTTAATATAAGGTTTTTAACTCACAACAACCTATTGGAAATACTTTGTGACCCACTACACAGTCCTCGGGTGCAACTCCACAATGGATGGAGTATGGCTTAACTTTCTGGCCTGTGTAGCGTATAAAAAAGGTTAGCACTAAAAAATTACTCCAAAAATTGAATTAATGTTTAAATATCACAAAAAATCTTATCAGCCTCATGTAGTGCTCCGTATGGGAGACCGCTTCACCAATATGAAGCACAGATCCCATGGCCCCCACCATTGCCTGGTTCTTCTGCCTCTTCCTCTCATAATCAGGAAAGACCCAAGTTGCGGTCAACTAACCCTAGTGCCCCTCACCAATCGAAGCAGACCACTCGCCCCTCTGGGGGCTATCGTGAACAAGTCAGCAAGGCGATGCCTGCCCCGAATATCGAAGATTCAACAGATTTAATGGTGATTCTCTGGGAGCCAGACGAAGGAACTCTGTGACATAAAAAATAATCCATGTGTTAGTGTAAAAAATAAATCAAATTTACAAATTTGATTCAAATAACATGATCGTACCTCAAACTCCTGAACTATCGAATCCTAATTCATGCCTACCCCAAAACCAACTCTAATCTCATTCAATCCTGCTTTTATACAAAGCTAACACTCAATGCTTATGCAGATAAATAACAAGATTGTAATACATACCACTCAATACTTATGTATTATATACACATAGCTAACACTTAATCTTGTGTATATACATTCCAAACACCTAAACTTTGTTACATACATGGCACCGAAATAATATGCATATACATTCCTAACACCTAAAAATCAAATTACATACATACCAAAATTTAAAAAGGGGAAAAAATGGAGCGAAGTTACCTTTTATGATCCTCTCATAAGTAGTGACTGCTAGGGCGCAACGGGGTTTCCATGGCGGGTGGGAGGTTCGGCTACTGGCAATAGGGAGGTGCGACCTTGCTTGGCATATGTGGAAATAAAACCTTGCTTGGCATGTTAGCCTAGGGAAGAAGTATAAAAGACAGTGAAAGGTTATTAGGAGGGCTAGCTCCAATGGGTGACAACCTTTTGTTCTAAATATTAAACTAAATTATGGACCAAGATTTTACATAACAAATAAATAAATGAAACCCAAACAATATATTTTATTCATGGAGATTTATAATTAGCATTACAACCCCAGACAATAATTGTTTTCTCCAAGCCAAGACAGTGACCTACTTACAACAACAATAAGATAATATAAAATATGATCTTTTATATATATATATTTCATTTTCTTCAATAAAAAAGTACACTTTTTAACACTTCAAAAGATCTTCATTGTGGGCACTCTGGAGGAGGTGATGGAAACCTTTTGACATCATTACAATAATCATAGATCACATATTCCTTCTTCACCTTCTGATATGCAGACCTTTCAGAAGAGCTCAGCTGCTGATATGTTGCTGAATTCCACCATAATGAGGAAGATGAACAGCGAGGATCATTAGAACTAGTTGAGACACATCCATCCACATCAAAACCTTGAAAATATGCATTAAATGGAGCAGAAGACCAATCTACTTTGGCCTTTCCTCCATCTGTTGCCCAACTATCTCCATTCCACACGCTTGCTATTATTTGCATGGGTTGAGATGGATAATCCACTCCTTTTGTCTGTTTGTTGGCAAATACTCTAATTGGAGTCTCATCCACATAAAACCTAATAATTTACAACACAAACAATCAGTCAAACATGATGAATTGTTTTACATACATACCCCTCAATTCATACGTATTTACATATGCATGAAAAACATGACGTTTATTGTTTAAGAATGGGGTGGTATGTAAGTGATATAATATGAATTGATAAGCTTACACTATCTGATGAGTGTTCCATAAGATTTTGTAGTCATGGAAGTCAGCAGCCATACGTATTTACATGAGCATGAAAAACATGACTTTTATTGTTTTTCAAGTTAAAACAATGATGTTTTTGATGTGATATGAAAAATTTCGGTCATATAAATATAAAAAAAATATATTTTAGGAATAAGATATGTAAATATATAAGAATAGGGTGGTATTTAAGTGATACAATATGAATTGATAAGCTTACACTATCTGATGACTGTTCCATAAGATTTTGTAGTCATGGAAGTCAGCAGTTGGATTAAACCGTAATTTGACCCTTTGTTCTCTATTGCCTTTCCCATTTGCAAAGACATTTGTCTGGAGAATGATGGGCTGCCCTTCAAGGTTTCCAAGGAACTCGAAATCCAGCTCAGCATGTTTGTCTGAACCGGAGGCCAACTAAATAAAATTAAAATATAAAGTTTAGGAGTTTGATTAATACTTAAAAATTAAGATTAATTTAATTTGTTTTCAAGCTAACTTGCATAGAGAAACCATGACACGCGGCAGACTGCCGCAAGTCTGGACGCACTATGGCCCATCTAGATCATCTGAATAGTCGTCCGAACATAATGTTTGCTCGTGCTCATAATGACTTGTTCATGAGAAGGAATAGTAATTGTTGGTTGATGTTATATATTGATGTGTCTTGTGGATTATGAAGATTATATATATATATATATATAGACATACCCACATGCATGATTACCTCACTTGTTTTTATTATATCGTTTGGGAGAAAAGCTGACGTTTGATGTTACTTGTTTGGTCAGCAATAATTTCATTAGAAGAGAATTTATTGGGTTATTGTAATATCGAAATGAAGTATTTGATGAGATCTTACATAGAAAGCAGTCACAACTCCAGATGAGTTCTTTGCCGGTAGCTTTATCCTCATATGGAAGTACCCTGATCCGTATTTAAGCTTTGATCCAAATCCAGAACCTAATTGATACAAAAACACGAGTTAAAGCTACTTATCAGTTGTAAGTTCTCTCTGATATGGGGTTCGATCCCCCCCCAAGTGGAGGGTGTGATACTCGAATTGTTAGGCACACCTGGGATGGTCGGGGCTCGTATAATAGCCTCAGACCATTCCTTTAAATGTATATATATAATTAAGGAAATGGCGAAAAAGCCTATTATACATGGCAAGTGCGCCCCATAAATTTTAACCCTGACTAATCCCAGTGTATTGTGATTGGTCAACTTGACATATAACACCCTACCATTAGACTTTGGACGCAAACTGCATCTCCAGCCATTGAGGGATTTTATGTGAGTTAGTATATGTTTTTAACACATTTAAATTAATTTGTGATTAATAAACTTTGAACAAAAAACTAAAATGTTTAGTAACCGTGAAAAAAGACGTGTAGCCACATTCTTCAAAAGATAATATGCGATATTTAGCTGCATAATTAATATTTAGCTAACTTAAAAAGGCTAACAGAAACGTTTTTTTTTTTAAATTAAATAGTAAGCTGGCCAATATTTTCTTGGCCGAAATATCTGTTTAATCAAAAATATTTATTAGCTTAAGTTTATATGATAAAAGCATGCAAACTTAAGCACATAAATGATTAGTTTTGGCTAAGAAAGTTTTAGAGTTTGTTTGGGACAACTTGTGCGTTTAAGGATAGGTAGCTTATCCTGAAACGCGGCCCGTTGGTCGACCCGCGACCTGCGCTAAGTGTAAAAAGCCCAAACGCGACAGACAACATTTTCAAAAACGCGCAAACCAAACGTTTAAGCGTCGTTTTCAAAAACGCTGCCGCATTTATAAGCTACCCCAAACGGGCACTTAATTAAGAAATTCTTGGATAAATTATCAAGTGATTTTGTATGTGTTAGGGGGTACTTATATATACTAATTACCATGAATGCATGATAATGACGTATAGTACGTATTAATCCCAAATGTCATTTAACTGTTCAAGAGATGGAAAGAGAAATTAAGATAATGATGATAATTATGTTTGTTGATTACAGGTTTGTATGGGTGTCAAAATAATAATAATAAAAACGTTTTCTTATTGACCATGCAAGCATGATAAAGCTTATACCGATACATACATACATACATACATACATACATACATACATACATACATACATACATACATACATACATACATACATACATACATACATACATACATACATACATACATACATACATACATATATATATATATATATATATATATATATAGGATTATATTTCATTTTAATGTATTTATATTTCTTTATATTTTTTAAGGATTTTAAAAGAAACCTTTATTACATTATATGGAGGTGATGGTTGAATTGTTAGGCAGATTAGAGATGGTTTGAAGCTCGTATAATAGCCTCTGACCATATATATATATATATATATATATATATATGTATGTATGACACGAAAATGAAAACGAAAACTTTATCACATATCAATTAATGCATCTACAACTCAAGAAAATTTAATTAAACTCTAAAGACAATAATTGTTAGTAATCCAACAATAACAGCTGGAGGTAAATAAAAATTCCAAAAAACAACATTGATAAATAAAATTTTAATTATTTAAAAATTTGCTTAAGTTATTGTAATTTGATAGAAATTTCTATAAAATAAAGTGCTCAGTTTGAATCGCACAAGAATAATTTCTCTGTAAATATAAAATTAAATTAACATATTAAACTCTCCAATATATATATATATATATATATATATATATTAAAAAATTGTTAAATTAGAATACCTGTAGTTTGGTCCATGGAAAGCAAAACCTCAGATTCGCCATTCAAAACCTTTATGCGATCACCACCCCATGATTCTGCGTAATTTTCATGAAAACCCTTGGCTCCCTCAGTCGTCGCCCAGCCCATGCAAGCAACTAAGAGAAGAAGAAGAAGAGGAGCAGAAGCCATTATCTCTGCTGTAATCATGAAACAACACTGGAGGCCAATTTATGGATTCTTGCATGAAACTGACCCAGTATTTATACATGTGTAAGGCAGGCCAAACTTTATGTAATAACGTCATTTTCATCATATAGCTAAGAATTAATGAATATAAAATACGTCTCCTCTACGCCACAACTTGCACTGTTTTCTCCCAACGTAATTTGTGTTAGGCGTCATGTGTCAAGTGGGCCCCATCGTGATATACTGACATTGACCAGTGTTAAAAATAGTGGAACTCAATTGACATGTGACAACTCACCATTAGACTCTAAATACATTCAAAGTCTCGATGTAACATTTTTCCTACTTTTTTTGGTTTTATTTATGCAGTGGTAATTATGCGTGTTTAATTAATTTATTAGCTCATAAACTTAATTAGTTTTTATGTTTTAAGCACATGTTTAAATTTATTGTTTTTTAATAATAATAATTATTATTATTATTTTGACTTATTATAGAACAATAAGACAAAATATATCGATCAGACAATGTAATAAGTGGCGCCTATATACAAGACATGGGTGCTCATTTGGCTGAATATTTTGCAACAAAAAAGTTAGTAGAGTATTAGACATTATTATTCTTAGGAGTTGGATCAGGGGTGTAATTAAATGAGCCGATGTTGATCGGCAAGCCTAGTGTTTGTTCGTATTCGGCTCAATCGAAAATTTTTATTCAAAATATGTTGGTGTTTGAAATGACTCGTGAATGTACAACATGTAAGTTTTCGACTCAATTTGAATTCGTTAGTTTGTTTCAACTTGTGTTTTGATTAAAATTAACTCTGAATATTGTATAAAATATCAATATAAAATTTTATAATAATATTATTTAATTATTTATACTCAAAAGAGGATAAATATGATCGAACAAAAGTTTATTTATGTATAAATCGAGCTTAAGAAAAATATTATTCATATTCGACTCTCTTATTTAAATTATGAATCTAACATGAGTTATTTAATGAGTCAAATAGAAATTGTTCGCAATAAATGAGTTTTCCTTACAACCATAAACGAGATTAAATTGTGCGTGTTCCGTGGCGTGTTGGTAGAGTAGTCTTTCTGAAGGATGTTAATCCCCACAGGTCACGGGTTTGATTCCACTCGTGTGTAGCGTTTGGTATGCGAATATTTAGCACACCTAGGGATGACTGAGACTTGTCTAATAGCCTCCAGCCATTCCTTTAAAAAAGGAAAAAAATAAACGAGATCACATTTTATTATATTTAATATAAAAATAAGATTTTAAATATGTATAGGCAAAAATCTTTAATTATTAATTGATGTCGAGACTATTCTGCAAAATGAAGGAGATTACCAAACAAAAGTAAAGGATTATATATATATATATATATATATATATATATATATATACATATATATATATATATACTTTTTGTGCAAACCCTAGTAGGGTCCCAAAACTAAATGCATTGGAAAAATAGAAATTATTTATTATATGATTAAGAAGGAGGGTTTCCAAACTTCATTAGAGGAAAAACAAATTAAACTCTTAACTACTTTGTGGGCTAAACACATCCGAGAACACACAACCACTAATCCTTCTTACTTGTGAGTGTAGACAACCTCAATTAGGATAGAAATCACCTTTACTTCTAACCAAATCTAGTGAGATTAAGACCTTAATCAAATGAAGAATAGAGTACATTTATGTAATTTATCCTTTAATCTTTACTTTACCATTTTTTTCAAATTGATGTGATTGAGGATCTCATGTGAGTCATGAATTATCCTACGTAGATCCAACTAAGCCATTGTGAGGTTGCTGTAAGAATTTAATGCTTACATGGTCAAGATGTGCCCATGTTGATATGTATGTTGCCATGCAAAAGGATAAGCCACTTTAGCCACCTTTAAATTAAAGGTAAATAAAGGGCTTTTAGATGAAATATTGCAATGGAGATTGTAGTTGAAGCGTGCTAAGGTGATTTATTCTCTAGCACTAAAATGCAAATTTAATAAAAAAAGGGATTAATTTCATCAAATTTGACAACACAATTTCTAAATTTCGTGATTATATTATCTTATGAGTCATTAGACATCTTTTATTTTAAGTGTATTGATTATTAACTTAGTAGAAATCACTCTTTAACTTTGTACTGAAGTACTGAGATGATCATAGCTTAGTTAGTTTCATGCTCTTCATATAAATAATATATGAATACTGTAAGGCTTTCACTGAAGCTAGCTAATATGTATCTTTTTTAAGAATATAAAACAACTAAATTCAATTTTAGGAGCATAATAATTGTGTTTTTTGCTTAAAAATATATTTTTATGATTGCTTTTACAATGTATTCCTATCTTCATACTCCTGATAATTTCTTCATTAATGATCTTCATATATATATATATATATATATATATATATATTTATAATCATAGATGAGGCCCATAGATGAGGCATTACTATATGTAAAAGTATAAGTTTAAGCATTTAAGATAGGCCTGCTTAGAGGTCTTGGCATCTGAGTGAGATCTGCAGTAAGATTCAAATATTGAAGGTGTCTCAAATTTTTAATAGCCTCAATCATCTTTTTCTGATATGGAGGGTCTATGAACAACAAACAAATCCTTCTCGATGCCTCAAATATTTCAGTAACTATTTCAGTTAAGCATTAATAACGTCTTTCACTGGTAAAAAAAAGTGAATGTAGATTGTTAACATCTTTGATCATTCCCAGCACTTATGGATTCTTAGTTTTAACAAATAAGTGTCGAATAGTTTTAGGAATTTTAAAAGATAAGAGATTATCTCCCACGAATTTGAAGCATTCCTCTAAAGAAATAGATTGTGCCAAATCATGCAATAAATCATGCATCTTATAGTACATTCTCTCGTAATGCTGAAACTCTTCAAAAAAAGGCTTTTCTAACAAAACATCAAGATACCTTTCTCCAATATCTTCCAAAGGCTCTCCATCAATAGAAGATTTCTGAATGAAACCCAATGCAATCCACACTCGGACTAAATCAACTTTTTCAAACTGATGATCTTGTGGGAATATGCCACTACAAGCAAAACAATTTTGTAGAGGTTGTGGGAGAAACATAAAACTCAATCTTAAGATAGGAGAAATGTTATTGCGACCCGGTTATGGTTATACGTTTAGAACATCAGGACCATTTAAAAAGTTCGTCCAAAAGCTCTCATTCAAGATAGAATTGAGAACACCACCAATGATTTTTGCCGCTAATGATGATCCTGAAAGCTCATTATCTATTGAACTATCAATGTCTGTTAATTCTGTCAAAACAATGATAGATAACTTTAAGAGAAATTATATAAATAATATATTCTCTTTCAAAATGCAATATAACAAAAGCTTACAAAAAATGAAATATCAGATAATGAAATTTTAATATACCAATTCAATATACATTATGCCTTTATGAGCTTCCCTGCATTGATAATCTTATTGATTAACTTGATGTGGTTTGCCATCATCTAAATTGGTGTTCCCCATATTTGTGTGATGCAGGCATAATATCACCTCAACTGCTAAAGCAAACCTCCATGATTCATGATTCGTGATCATGGATGAAGGTTGTCATGAATGACAAATCTCATATTGCATCTGCATGTTTGATTTTATGCTCGAAATCTAAGGATTCATTTGAGATGGCTATTTTTTTTTTTTGTAAATAAAGTTGTAAAGCTGTGGTGCCGTGATCATGGATGAGGTTGTCATGAATGGCAAATCTCATATTGCATTTGCATGTTTGATTTTATGCTCTAAATCTAAGGATTCATTTGAGATGGCTATTTTTTTTTTTTGTAAATAAAGTTGTAAAGCTGTGGTGGGAAAGACAATTATAGGAAGTTGTGGTGTAAATTATAAAATTTTATTTTATTTTCAAAAAAGTTGATGACTGTTTTTTTTACTTCCACCACAATTTTGAAATACAGTTGTAAAAAGTAGTTTATTACGATAAAAATTTCTAGGAAATAACAATAGAGCCTCTTCCTAATTGAATTGGGGTGAAAGTATGAAACAAATCAGTTAGAAAGTTTTCTCAAACAAACTCTTTGCAGACTTTATGAGTCTGTTGGGCTACTAAAATCTATCCAAACTCTCTTAAAAAGGTCTATTTATAACATTAACAAATATACAAATATAAAGATAATTCAATATCAAATACCCACTAAACATACATTATAATATTTCTTTCCTAATATATATTATGTGTTTTATAAAACACATCTTTACTTATAATTGAGATATATTCCATAATAAATATACAAATATACAAATATAAAGATAATTTAATATCAAATACCCACTAAACATACATTATAATATTTCTTTCCTAATATATATTATGTGTTTTATAAAACACATCTTTACTTATAATTGAGATATATTCCATAACTCACAAAAAATCAACCATCAATTGCATTATAAATTTTAACTTAATGATTAAGATGGAAAATGTACTAAATTAGGTTTCTTCTAGTGCCAATTATTTAGTCAATTAAATATAATAAATAAATTACATTTGAGCAAAAACAACCATTCATTGCATTCTGATTATGCAAAGTTAGAAAAAGTGCATGGTTCATGGAATCCATTGAAGAATATAACCATTCAAACAAATTTAATGATTAAATGCTATACAATAGATAAATTACATTTGAGCAAAAACAACTATTCATTGCATTTTGATTAGGCAAAGTTAGAAAAAGTGCATGGTTCATTGAATCCATTGAAGAATATAACCATTCAAACAAATTTAATGATTAAATGCTATAAATTATGTAATAACGATCATTAAGGATTTGCAACGTCATGTTAAGTTTCATATCCAAATAAGCAATACATGTAATTCCTATCACTTAAGCATGATGCCAAATCTCTTGATTTTTGTTAACAACAAAGAAAATAAAGAAACCAAATTGATGAATCTAAATCAGTTCTGCTTGAGTAATCTGAATTGGTCCAACAACAAAAATAGTCTAGCTCCT